CTTGAAATGTTGGTGCTGATGGGGGAGCGACGGTAAAGGTGGGAGGGAGGGGGCTCGATGATCAGTTGAAGGTGCTAATTTGCAAATAAGGTGATTTTAGGTGAATTTTTTCTACTTTCAAATGATTTTTGGAGGAGACTGGGGGAGGAGTAATTTTTGGAGGGGCGTGTCACCCCCCCCCCCCACCTAGATACGCCACTGGTAATTCCAACGCTAACTCATTTTGGTCCTTAATCAAATCTATTTTCTCTTTTGATAATACTATGTTAGACTTCACATTATTACCCCCAGTCATTAGATCAAGCACTAGGAACACGTACTGAGCTCTCTGGGGGAGAATTCCATAACGATTATGATAATACTTAGTTTCAAGCATTTTCCACTCAGCTCTCGAATTTCTGATTGACAGCACTCTGCTACCTTCTCTTTGCACATCTCTGTTGTAACACAATATGTGTTCTGTCAACATCGTATGTTTCAACTCACCTCCTAAAAATATTTTAAAATGAGCGACCAAGGATAACAATCCAATGCTTGAAATGATTACTTTAATAGTTGACTTTTTTTTAAATAAAAGAAATAATTTAATAAAGGAAGACAATAATATAATGTTTAGTAGAAAATTGTATATTGACATCAATGCACGTTACTTAACATTTCTTTGATGAAAATTTTATTAGCTAGTTGGTTTTTTTTTTCAAATAAATTGATATTTTAGGATCACAACATCTTCTTGTTGAAGAAAACAAGTTGTTATGTTAAACAAGTTGTTATGTTTAGTTTGTTTTCTGACGTTTGTCGTAGAATATATATGTTACAAACTTGTTGTTATTCATAATTTCCGAAAAATCTCAAATAGTGATTTGTAGATACAATGATGACATTTTATTTCCAAAAAGCGACTTACTATCAGAGCAAAATACAACACAAAAAAAAACAAAAACAAAAACAAAAACAAAAAACAAAAAACAAACAAACAAAAAACAAACAAAAAACAAACAAAAAAAACAAACAAAAAACAAGTATGATAGCATACCGTATCTCAAGATGCACTTACTACTGAAAATTTTGGAAAAAGGATAATATATGGGCATCAGGGAAAACTTTATCTAAAGGTGGATAGCCATTGTTAAGCTGCACTTGCAAAGAATAGCGAGTAAGCCTAAATACAGTGACACAAGAAAAAATCTTCTGTGACAGTTCGTTGGAATAAAAATACTCACAGTTTTTCCAATTTCTTAAAATAGATGAACTATCTCAACAATTTATCTTACATATATTGACCAATAGCAAGCATTGAAAACGGTGACGTCATATAACAGTTTCACTCAGTTCGGATCAGTGAGTGACAATTGCAGTATCTTCCAAGAAGTCTATGCTGAATTTGAGGTAAGCTTTTATAAATAATAACCAATATAAATTGACATTTCTTATGAAACGTGGTTGATTTTGCACATTATTATCCAACATCGAAAGCTGATTTTACTTTAATATACAACCGAACCGGAATTTAGTCATGGGACATATCCTAAATTGATATTTTAGCATCACAATATCTTCTTGTTGAAGAAAACAAGTTGTTATGTTAAAAGAAGTTGTTATGTTTAGTTTGTTTTCTGACGTTTGTCGTAGAATATATATGTTACAAACTTGTTGTTATTCATAATTTCCGAAAAATCTCAAATAGTGATTTGTAGATACAATGATGACATTTTATTTACAAAAAGCGACTTACTATGAGAGCAAAATACAACACACACACACACACACAAAAAACAAAAAACAAAAAAACAAAAACAAAAAAACAAACAAAAAACAAGTATGATAGCATATCTCAAGATGCACTTACTTGATGTTGCACATCATTATCCAACATCGAAAGCTGATTTTACTTTAATATACAACCGAACCGGAATTTAGTCATGGGATATATCCTACTATATGAAGGATAGACAGCATATCTTGTCCTAATAACTATTCTATGCGATTTACATACAATAGGTTGAAAAAGAGCATAGATGCACGTGATAAGTCAGTTGCGGATTGAAGGGGGCCTAGACGATCAGCAACCCCTCCCCCCACCCCCACCCCCCGTCGGAGGCATTTTATTACACAATGATTTTTCATAGGACTTTATTCGTTGAAAAGCTACAACGTAGCCTACGATGTTCCATCATGTCCTTATTAAACAATATTAAACACTGTATATGTACCATTGATGATTTATATTATATTTATTCAACGGTGTTAACGGCTAACTTCCTTCAATATCATATATGTATGTATGTATTTATACGAATACAAGATTAATAATAATACATACCATCTGAGACTCGTCTAGAATCGTCTTGATCCTACCCATTACAATGGCCTGTCGCTGAGCTTAGATGAAGCGATGCACCTGCTGTGTCATCTCACAGTTTATAAACGTGCACAAGATTCGTAATTTCAAAAATGGGATATTTTTTAAATTCTCTTTAAAACATGTCTAAATTCAGTGGAAATTTTGAGAGTAATGATTACTAAATAATAAATAAATTATTTTCTCTTTCAGAATAAGAATGAATCATTATTTGACATCTCGTTCATTTTTGGTAGGCTTGATCAGCGTACTAATTTCTCTACCAATAAACCTGGCTACAACAACCGCAACAAGTGAACAAGAAACTGCACCTTATTCTTGCAATATGTGCTGTCACGGGCCATCTGGGCAACCTGGTATCTCAGGAGTCCCCGGAACACCTGGAGGGTTAGGTCCACCTGGAGCACCTGGTAGTAAAGGTGACAGAGGTATCAGAGGTGCTAGAGGACAAAAGGGAGAACCTGGAAATGAGGGTCTAAAAGGTGACAAAGGAAGCGAAGGATTTCCGGGTAAACAAGGTCCACTTGGACCAACAGGACCGCTGGGGGCTAAAGGAAACAACGGATCACAGGGAGAAAAGGGCGAGCCAGGATTGAAGGCCTCACAATCCCGTAAATCTGCGTTTACTGCGTTGCGCACAACTCATGTACAAACTACAGAATGGGTCATATCATTCACATCGATGGAGATTAATATCGGAAATGACTTTGACAAAAATACCGGAAAGTTCACATGTAGGATTTCTGGCGTGTATTTCTTCATGTTCAGTTTCATGTCGTTCGCTCCCCCACAACCATATGTAAAATTGAAGTTAAACGGTCGTGTTATCACAACTGCTCATCGTAATGAGCCTAATCCGAACGATCAGATAGGATCTGGCGCAACCGTTCAACTGAATGTCGGTGATCAAGTTTGGTTGACGAACGAAAAAAGAAGACTTTATGGTAATTCCAACCATCCTTTCACTTTCACTGGGTTCATGATATACGATATGGACTAGTGCTCACCGCTCACCCTGACGCCTGTATAGGCCTGTTGGCCTGTCAGACTTGTACTAAAGATTAATGTTTGTAGTCGAGTATAATTTTATAAAATCTGTTACATGTAACCAAATGTTAAATATATACAAGAACATTATTATACCAATGTTGCATTCGTATTTTGAAGCAACCGTTTTATCATAAAGCGCTTAACTTAAAATAATAAAATAAAAAAGCATACATTAAAACATAATTGTTTTAATTATTAAAAATACAGGCCTATATAGATTTTAAATCTGTGTGAAGTTTTAATCTATTGGCCTATTATAGAACCATACTCTTGAAAATATAGCTTACAGTTTTTTTTCTCCTTACACTTTTAAAGCCTACCGTATATTTTATGAGAAAATATATAAATTGTGCATGTATTTTCGGCCAAAATTTAAAGTCATATAACCTGTTTTGCATTAATTATAACTGAAATGACTATGACATTTGTCAACCGCTTTTTTGGTTAAAAATCTAAATTAAATTTTGCTTGAATAATAAAAATAGACAACTCAACATTTTGTGTTGTGAGCGACTGTAAAGTTTGTTAGTAATTTACTGCTCATTGTCGTAAAACCACCCACATTCGAGCCTTGAACCTTCTGATCTTATGCAGACGGACGCCTTAACCAACTGAGGCATTGAAGCTTTGTTGGAAATTCAAATTCGATTAAAGAAACTAATTCCTCGCACTTGTACATGCGTATAGTTGGACAGCACTAGTTCTATATGAGACTCTATAGGTCTCCGTGGTCTAATTGGTATGACACTCACCTTGATAGCGAGAGGTTGCCGGTTGGAATCCCCCCCAGATACCTTTTAATACAACTGAATAAAGGAACTTTTCGTTGAATGGCTATGCTTGATAAGATTATAACATCAATATTATTGATGATAATAAAATAATAATAAATAACAATAATAATAATAGGCCTACTGTTATAATGATTATTAATATCGAATAACATTAGTAAAATAAAAAGTCTGTCATGAAATTCACTTTGGATAATATACACATATGAACTTAATCAAGTCTCACTGATATTATGCTCAGGGTTTATCATTTTATAGGATAGACCTATTTGTCAGTGGACTTCACAAGACAACTCCTTCTATTTTCCTCGTGAAACAAGTTTGCCTTTAAATAGGCTCATTAACTTCAACGCCCTCTAGAGTTAGAAACGCTCAATGTATTAATTGAGTCAAGGAGTAATCCAATATATAGACTGGGTTCCAATCCCTAATTTTGTCTTAATCAGTGAAACTATTAAAAATATATTTATTTTGGTACTAATGGCGTTCCATATTACTTATTTACATGGCGTTCCATATTATACCTTTTCTGGGATTAATTCGCATCCAAAATCAACATTTATTTATTTATTTGTGACACTTCACCTTTGTATCGGTGGCACTTACAATCAGTGGTGCGGTCTTACAAAATATACAACAGAAAAAGGAGAGGATAATCAAAACATTAACAGGCAAAACTTAACTAAACTGAACTTAAAACTTAATATTAAGTAATTTAAAATACTAAAAATTCATAAAGAAATATACCAAAGCTCCAATGGAATAGTTTGAACAAAATAAGCAAAATTAAATCAAGAAAAAGTACTTCATGCAGATGAATAAATCTTAAGCCTACCCAAGTACAAAAAAAATTAATTAATTTTAAAAAAACAACCTAACAAGTTTCTCAACATCCGCCCTCCCGCGAGCGGGGTAAAATTTGACCATTTGACTGAGTGGAGAAAATACAGGAAACAGACGAACCAGCATTACCTGAGCATTACTACTGTATAGCGCCGCCGTGCGGACGGGGTAAAATTGCTCCTCGTGTACCCACAATGCATTTCGAACGGATGTTCCACTATATTGGGAAGCTGCTCTATCTTACTATTTATTATCTTTGCTAATATCAGGGAACAGTAATTCACTGTTCCTTGCTAATACTAGGAAACATCAATAAATTAGAGACTTGTGGCAAGTCTATCCGATATAATATTATATGACTGCACCCTGCACATTATTTGCATCTGCAAAATGGGTGACCAAACATAACAAACTATTGTTTGAAATGATTAATTAAATTACATTGCAATGTGTAGTACGTTAATAACGAAATTAATAAAATTATAAAGAAATAATTCATTTAATAAAAAATATCATGGTATTATTAAACAATATGGAAATTTTATATAGTGAATCTTTTCAAATTATTAAATTTTTTAGGAACATAATATCTAAATTGTGTCTGTAAGTTTGTTGAAGGAACATATGTGTTGTTTGTATTTGGTTTGTGAAGCTTGTTGTAGTAGGTTACAAGTCTTGTTGGTTTTACATGTTATTAATTATCACAACAATTTCAAATTATTATTAAACATATTCATCCGATTTGTAGATACAATGAATACAATTTTATTTTTAAAAAGCGACTTACTATCAAAGCAAAATACAACAACAAAAAAATAACGAAACAGAAACTGATATCAAATCTCGAGGTGCACTTGGTCCTGAAAATGTAAGAAAAGGGATAACTTGGGCAACAAGAAAGAAAGTATTTATAGGTGGATAGACATTGTATTCAGGGGTGGCGCCAGTGGGGAGGCGGGTACCAGGGCCCCTCCCTCCCCCTCCCTCGTCGGGGAGAAAAACCACAATTCATTGGGGAGAAAAAAATATTAAATGTATTTGCTACAAATTAGTAGACTCTAAAATCGATTAAATAAGCCTTTGAACCCTTAAATTTTCATAATTTGGGGGATTTGTCTCATGGACCACTTTCGAAAGATTTTGAGAGGCGCCCGGCCACGCCCACTTGGTTCTTCCCTGGGACATCGGAATCCCCTGTCGGGAAAATCCTCCTGATTGTATTTCAGCAACACTTTAGTGAGTAAGCCCAAATACCCTGATGCAAGGAGAAAGTTCTGTGACAGTCCGTTGGAATAAAAATTACTCAAAGTTGAATTAGTTGTTTCAAGTTCTAAAAATAGATGAACTATCTTAGCAACATATCCTATATTTATTGACCAATAGCAAATATTGGAGACGGTGACGTCATATAACAGTTTTCCTCAGTTCGAATCCGTTAGTTACGATTGCTGTATTTGCCAAGACGGCTTGCAGAAGTTGAGGTAAGCTTTTATAAAAATTAACTAATATAAATTTAGATTTCGTATGAAACGTGGATGATTTTGCACATCATTATGTTGTACCAACATCAAAAGACGATTCTTACTTTAAAAGTTAAAAAGGTTAAAGTTACATTTACATCTGTCAAACAACCGTGACAGATTTAAATCATAGTATGGTTATGCTGCGTAGCACTGAAAATATATAAATATAAACAAATTGGTAAATGATAGTGCTCAAACTTAAAAGCTATAGAGGTCAGTGGCGAATCCAGATACCGGTACTGTATTCGAAATTGAGGGGGCCCAGGGGTTATTTTCACAGATGGAGAGTGTACACCATCTCAGCCCCATTATGGTTTGGGCTGAGACAAGAAAATGTATGATGATGGCAATTCTACATGGCAGGAAATAGTACTCTCGACCTAAATCTTATTAATATTTTCCATTTTTTATTTCATAATTTTGAAAAATTTAGGGGGCCCGGGCCGGCTCCTCTCCCCCTTTGAATCTGCAACTGAAATTATCAGTTAACTTGAGGCCAAGTTGATGTGTTTCACGACCTCATAGACCATAGACCTAAAAAAGGAAACTATATTCAAATTTAAGTATGAAAGTGTACGGTACTTTCCGGCCATCTAGAAGTGCCCTAATCATAAATTTTCTTACCTCAGCCCCAACCATGGTGGGGCTGAGGTGGGTGGTTCCTCAGTCAGTGAAAGTCCCTCCCTGGGTACCGTAACCTCTTATTCCTGGATCCATCACTATTAATTTATTATAATTATTGTTGGGCCTACTTATATTATTTATGATGTGTCTAATGCAATTTTCACTTTATCCTCCAAAACAGTCCTTAAAACCTTCAGAGTACGCTACTTCACAAGAGGTTCGTCCCCCTGGACCCCGCCGGAGTCCTACGTACCTCGCATAACGGCTCCCCACCCCCACCCCTTTAAAAATCCTGGCTACGTCCCTGAGTACTGTGTGTTCTAACTAGTCTCTCATGCGATTTACATACAATAGGTTGTAAAAGGGCATAGAATACGCACGTGATAAATTGAAAGGTTTTGTCAGTTTTTCTCATTATTTCAACTAGCTGATTAAGGTTAAACTTTGCTTGTTGGGTTTCATCCAAACAAAATGGATCATTACTCAGTAAATAAATGTCATTCTACAAAAATTGAATATTGCACTTATGATATCATAAATCACGATACTTAGAAAAATAAGGGCCACATGTTATTTTGCTTCCTAAATTATACAACTATATCAGCTTCGAGTTTATAAAATTCGCGCCAAGAATCCACTTGAGCCAGTTCGAATAATAATTTTAAAAAAACAGTACGCGATTGGAGGGAGAGAGGAACAAGTTTGGTGAAACAGCCAGCAATAGCGAAATGCTTGTAACCCTTACAAAACAGCGGGAGAAGGTGATAAAAACAGTACGAGTCCGATTAATGTTTGTTTTTTCACAGCTCGAGAAATAAGTTTCAAAAATAATCCACTTAGGCCCCTATTAGGAAAACAGACTGGTAAATCATTTTAACAAATGGTATTTATAAAAAAAAATTAAAATGAATCTTTGTAATGTATTCTGCCATTTTTTTTTTTTTTGCACATCTTCTTAGGCTTTGATATCAATCTGTCAGATTAGCATTATTAAAGCTCTGTCCACACTATCAAATTTTATGTGACAAAACATGTAATTTGCCCATATTTGGTAATTATATTACGTCATCATACCCATAATATGGCCACATCACACGAACGTCTCACATAAAATTATATAAGGTGGACTGAGCTATGTTCAACAGAAAAATAAATGTTTCTTTTTTTAATTGCGATTATACAAGTCTCTCTCCAATTAAGACTTTTTAATACGGGACCACAGAATGGTGTTCTTTAATTCGAAGTGGTTTATAATTGGAGGGGTCTTTAATTGTTAAAGGGAGAGACCTGTAGTACTTTTCATGAGCCTCCAAAATTTGATGAGTCCGGGGATGAGAAACTAGCGATCAATTGGTTTAGCAAAACTTTTTGTACCAGTATGGATCGTATGCTTTTCTTCACGTTGAAAAGTATAATTTAAACATCTAAAATACTGTGC